CCGAAACAGATGCCCGAGCCACCCCACGGCGGAGTTGATAGAACCAAATCATGTAGTTAACGCGATTAAGGGTTTTAGTCGTTGCCCAGCACTAATCTGAATGGAAGAAAGACTTTGTGCTAGTTTACCAGTAGAATGTTTTTGTTGGTTCATATCCTTCATGTGACTTATTTTCTTTCATTTGAAATTTGTCAACTGGGGCACAAGTAAAACAGGAGGTGTGCACACCCAAATGGACAGGAAGTCGTCTTTTGTTATCAGAATGGCACACGTGCTCCTCCACCAGTGTTGATAGTTATGTTGTAAAGAATAAAAGGCTTAAAGTAAAATCTGGGTGAGCGAACGTCCTGTTCTCCTTGCTCCCTGAATGTGGACTTTGGTCAACCACACTCCAGAATCTCAGGTGTGCAGTATGTATTGTTTGCAATAATAATTCTTAATTGTTGATTTAATGATGTGCGAGTTGACATTAGAGGATGTCACACACTTTCAAGAACCAATCAGATTCAAATTGTTGAAAGATGCAAAATATCATCCGCTTATTGTCGCTGACAAAATATCCAGATGTCATTTTACTCCAGATTTACCTCATTCTACTGGTTGAGTGTTTTACCTTTTAGATTTCTGTCCAACACTAAGATGACCGTTACTGTATTTATGTGCTTGTGAAACAGACGTACCTTGTATAGCAGATGCGTGTGGTTCAGTTTTGTTGTTACTCTGCTACAACTGTGTATTGACACATCTGAGGTGATAGATCCAGTCTGTAATCGGTGTGTTATCCCTTGTGGTGTTGCCAGGTTGGATCCCATCCTGTATAAGAAGTGTCAGGGCGATGCCTCCCAGCTCTGCCACACTCACGGCTGGAACGAGACCAGTGACATGCTGCCCACTGGCGCCATCTTCTCCTGTTTGTATCGCCACGCCTACCGCTCTGTGGAGCAGGGCCGCAGGGTGAGTGTCTGCTGCAGGATGACATCGCTAAAGGATCGGTTCACCCAAGCTTATAAAGAAGCAGAATTGTCACTTAGCAGTAGCGGCGTCAGTCTACAGATGTCTGACAGTTTCTGTGGGCTGGGCCACCACCGCATTCTGAACTCATTTTTACCAAATGTCGAAAATGCAGAATTTGTTCATGGTGCTTAAAGGATAAGTCTGATTTTTGCTGTTGAGTAATGTGATCAAAACAACCAAAGGCTGTTCACACTGGGCTGGTGGCAGCTGCTGACCTCAGTAATAATTGGTAATCAAAGTACAAAAATAGATGCAGAAGAAAGTGACCTTTAACCTGCTGCTTGAAGCGTTGATCTGAATACGAGACATTTGTGCTCCTGGGCAGCTGCTTTAAAGCATCAGCTAAATGTGTGAAGTGACAATAGAAATGTAAGTGTAGAGCAGCAGATTTGTCAGAATGCAGAAGACGGTAAAACGGGATGCACGGTACTTTGACTAAATTAAAAATCTTCAAGCAGCTACTTTTGAAATGTACACATACAAAAACTCTGTGGTGGAGTATCAGTTTGAGGTCTGTGAACAATAATAGCGAGCTGTGTCTCTGGTCTTTCTCTAACTCAATGTCACCGTTGATCGTCTTGCAGCTCTCCAGAGACTGCAAGGTGGAGGTGCAGAGGATTCTCCACCAGAGGGCACTGGACGTGAAGCTGGACCCTGAGCTTCAGAGACGCTGTATGGCAGACCTGGGGAAGTGGTGCAGCGAGAAGACAGAGTCCGGACAGGAGCTGGAGTGTCTGCAGGACCACCTGGAGGATCTGATATCAGAGTGCAGGGACGTGGTGGGAAACCTGACTGAGCTGGAGTCAGAGGTATTAACCGCCACATCGACCACTCCATCCCATAACG